TCAGGCATAAGTCAATCAAACAAATGAAAGCTGAGCCTAACAACCATTTTCCAGTTCCTTTTGTCCCTCCCAGAGCTTCTCTCCCTATTTCTCCCTGGGCCCACCAAAGCATATGTTGGGGGAGGCATCTCCAAGGACAGTCTTACTCAGCTTCCACAAAGGCAGCACAATCCACTTGTTTTATATTTATGTCAGAGTTCTTTTTCATGAGAACTTCAAAAGAAGTACCATCCTACACGATTCCTTTTTTTCTAACCATACTAGACGTCCGATGCAAAAAATTTGTGCAAGCGTAGGCCTTTGCAGCTGCAGCGGCTGCCTGGATCCCTCCCTTGATGCCGCGGCTGCAGCCCCAGCTTCATCCAGAAGGTCGTCCAGAAGGACGGTTTGTCTAATTAGCATATTATGCTTTTATTATTATAGATGAAACAGAAGTAAGTTTGGGGGTACCACTTTAAGCTGTGGATGAGAGGCGAAAGTCATTCAGCCACTTAGGAGATGGGGAAAATGATGTCCCTGGTTTTCCTACATCATTTTGCTGAAGAAAGGTGGGGTGATTAAAGAGAGGAAACACACTAATGATCAATCAAGCCAACTTTAAAATAATACTCTATTATTCCAAGTATGTCCAATCATAAACTTAATATGGTTTCTTGAGTTCTGACTCAGCCATAGTTTCTGAGTAACTCAGATTTGTACACTAAAATCCACCCTTCCAGGCCACAGAACACATAGCAGGCGTCTGACAGCATGACAATGGCATTGTTTTGCTGGTTAGGGACAAGGGAATGAACAAATTCCCTGTTGAGCGGTTCTGAATGCTGTATTCACCAGCAGTGGAGAGGCATAAACACCACATCTATAATCAGCATCTATTAAGTGCTGTGTGCTCAACTACACGAAGGGCCTTACAGACATTAACTCCTTTAATCCTATGAGCCTATGAAGTAGATGCTATTATTATCCCCGTTACATAGATAACTGGGGGGCAGAGATAAGTAACCGGCTTCAAGCCCCAGAGCTTGTCAGTGGTAGAGTGGGACAGCTGCATTGCCAGACTTCAAAAGCCGAGCCCGCAACTGCTTCTAACTTCTCCAAGACTAATTCTAAAAATCAAAGACTTCTACGTTGGTCCTAATTCCTGAAATCCATCCACTCTTACCCTGGCATGGCCTCGGCTGTGTGTATATATAAGTATGTGTGTGTGTGTGTGTGTGTGTGTGTGTGTGTGTGTGTGTAATTAGAGGCCCAATGCATGAAACTCATGCATAAGGGGTCCCTCAGCCCAATCTGCACCCTCTTGCAATCCAGGACCCCTCAGGGATGTCCAACTGCTGGCTGGGCCTAAACCAGCAGTTGATAACTGCCCGCCTGCTCGCTCCTTACCACCTGCCTGCTTGCTCCTTACTGCTTGGCTTGCCGCTCCTTAGCGCTGCTGCGGAGGCAGGGGAGGCTTCTGCTGCGTTCACTAGTTGTGAGACTGGCTTCTAGCTGAGCAAGGCTCCCGCTGTGAGAGCGTACTGACCACCAGGGGGTAGCTTCTGCTTCTGCATTGAGCGTCTGCCCCCTGGTGGTCAGTGAGTGTCATAGCAACGGTCATTCTGGTTATTCCACTGTAATGGTCACTGGGCTTTTATATATATAGATATGAAAATAGAGCCCAAGCCCCACAAAGAAAAAGGATAACTTTTTACTTCACAGACAATATTACTTAATATTAAACTTCATTAAAGCTCTTTCATGGTTAAGATTAATCAAAATGTTCAGACCAAGATCTGTCAACATGGTGAAGGAATTTCATAAAATCCAGTCTTTGTCACCCTGAAAATACAGTTGTCATAAAGTAAGTCCCTGATAATTGGTCTAGTCAATGGGAAAAACAAGAGAAGATGATTTCCCCCTCGATGTTTTCTCTCTTTAAATCCCTGCAGAAACCGTTGCTCCAGGACAGGGGAGAGAAAATGAGAATCTTCATATCCTGGGCTGCTGGGATTTCAGGAGGGCTGTACCCTCCTCCTTAAAGTCCCTTTGAGGTGTACATCTTCATTGTCCCCGACAGCTTCCGTTTCACAGCTTTTCAGAGAAATCAGCAGCTCAGTAAAGGAGGGTGTGTGCGATCCTTAGCTGTGAGCCTGGCAGGAACCCTCAGGCTGCAGGCTGTCTTTCTTGGAGCAGTGACTGGAGAGGTTGGTGCGCCCAGAAGAGAACATAAGATGGAAACCCACCTCTGCCGTGGTCGCCTCACACGTTTAAGCCCTGAGGTCTGTCGCAAGTTGGCAGCATGCGTAAACGGGTGAGCGACTCAGAAGACGAGCTTCCCAAACACTGCCATGAAATTTTAGAATAGGCCTAGAGATGATCACCACAACCAGAATTCAGCTCCTAATAACCCAACGCCATGTGCATTTCTAAGAAAGGGGAGCAGAGTAGGTGCCTTTAAGGTTCTGCAAGATTGTATGACAGCCTCCTGGCCCAGGGACATTATTTTTGATTATCGACAAAATCCTCTCTCTCCTCTCTCCAAATCAGTGAGACATAGGCCAGATTGCAGAAGGAATTTTGTAGTAAGAAGAAATTCTCTTCTACACACACAGACACTGTTCGGGACAGACTTCGCATCCCTGACATGAGAACTATCTGAATTCAATGTTATTTCTTTTTCCTTTACTTACGTTGAACCTCACTTTTGTCAAAATTTTGTCCAACCAGCGCACTTCCAGCAATAATTCTGACCCAGAATAAATAAACCCCTAACACAAAACCTAGAATTTTGTAATAACATTAATATTTTTTTGAATCCCATATCCTTCAGGTTATAAAATCTATTTGTAAGTCCCTTTAAGGTATCACCAAACATGTGCTATGGTCCTACTAAGCTTGACTCGCCACACAGTATGGCGAGAGCCATGAGCTGTGTGACCAATGGAGCAGGGGTACTGCACCGGCCCTGGGGGTTAGACCCTCACAACAAAGACCGGTCCCCCATCAGCACAATGTTCAATTGCCCCCCCAAAATATTGATGTGGCCGGAAACCCAGCTTAGATTTATTGGGGGTTATAATCTGACTTTATCTATAAACACACAGGGAATTCTTAGCCCCGTTTTAGTATGTGTTGGGTTTTTCAGGAACGTAATCAAAATATTCTGTATGATGAGGGAAGCCTGAATAGCAGAGAGAATGTGAGCAAGGACCAGCACTAGATCGCTTCAGAGTTTATGCCAGCCCACCTGTTATCGGCTGGGTGCCCTCGGGTAACTCCTGGCAGGTAAAAGGGGAAAGCCCATGGCACCCACCTGATAAAGCTGTGAGGACTTAGAGCAGCCACCAGGAAGCACTCTGTGGGTGTCGCTACTGCAGACTTCTGTTTTGTCTAGAGCTTTAGCAAGAATTGGCCACATCGTTGCTGACGTCAATCTGTTTCTGGTACTGAGCTGCCAGCACAGCAGGCCTGCACTGGTCAGCGTCTGCAGACACCACATCCCTGGGGATTGTACGTATAGATCCAAGCATGCCCCTTGTTTCATGATTTCACTGCCCCTTGTAACATAACTGTGTTTGAGCATTTACGTATTAAAATGATTATTGCATTATAAATGTTTCATACGTTTATATTTAAGTTAGGACATTAAATGGATGTGTGTGTATAGAGGCCAGTTATAGCGCCTGCTAATTTCATTTCAGAATATTAAATAGGGTGATGCTTTTATGTGCAAAGACAGGTTTTATCGTCTTTGATTTTTATTTAATGATTATGGTGATATTATAAATATTTATTATAAAAAGAGGCATGTGTTGAATTTGGTTTGGTAGTATTTTGAAAAAAATCACTATTTTAAATTATCATGTCAAAAAGGGCCATTCTGCATCTTCATATGTTAACACCTGTCTACCATAAACCCGGGTTACTATTGAGGTTAGCAGTTTCCATTCGTTGCTAAGACGTTAGTATTAAACTATTGCTTATATATCTCCACAGTAGAGACACATACAAAAGCCATCTATCTCTTAAACACAATTCAGGAGAAAACCCCAAGTGAAAATAAAAATGAATCTGCGGAGGCTGACCGAGGGTAGAGAACCCAGAAACTTCCTTGGCCTTCCTTGGGCCTCCAGGGACAGTCTGAAAAACATCTGCTGCAGCAATTCAAGTTGGGCACAGCCTATAGTTCAGACTGACTCTGCAAGTTCATTTTAAGAACAGTCAAGAGATCACAAGTGGCATTTTCTCCACAGAAAAGGAGCGCATCTCCAGCGAAGACCCCGGAGCCATGTTACTCAGCTGTTTTACTCATTACTGAGCTGCACTGCAATGCTAAGAGTCTGCCCCTACACCCAGGGAGTGAGCGGAAGTGTTCCCACCCCACTTTCTGGGCACGACGCCAGCTCACGCTCAGTGAAATGGGCAAGGCTTTCCCACAGCTCCCTCCTGGTCACTGGGCCCATGAGCAGACCTCCGCCCCCAGGCTTGGCCCTCAGTGTGCTGAGAAGCTGCCGGTGAATCACACTCCCAGCCTCTTCTGGCCTTGGTTTGCCAAACCCCTCCCCTCCCCCAGGAAACCCTGAGAGGCTGGCAGGGCCGCCCCTTTGAATCCAATCACTCTAATCGGTGAGGGCTGTTCTTCCCTCCCCCACCAAGACCATTTTAAAGGGAAGACAGTTCACTAACTCCAGGGAATCTCCAAGTCACTGAGTTTCAGGAAGTTTGGCAAAATAAACCATTCAGGGATATGGTGGGGGGTGGATTATGACTGGGGGATACCAGCTCTGCCTACAAATACCTCAGAAAATTCCCCAAATGTCATGTGATTTCACACAGGCCTCCTCCACACCCCCATTTCTAAGCCAGAAAATCCCAAATTCTTGGGAGGGTTCATTTTCTTTTTTAACAGGAGCACCCGTGGTCGCAACAGCCACCAGTAAATCGGAAACGACCTCAAACTCTCTTTTTTGTTAGCTTTGTGCATGGCGCAAAACAGAAATACTTCCACTCCGTGTGACTACGAGTAGGAAAAATATACAACTGTATTTAAAACGCTTAAATTAACAAGATAGTACTTTTCCATTCTAACAAAATATCATACATTCAGCTTACACAAGAGTTAATACCCAGACACACTTTTCCAAAATACCTGATGCTACTTGAAAATTTGTGACCGTGAGACTCGCCGGGGTTTTTCTAATCGGCTAAACGTGGCCGCCGACTGAAGAGCGGTCGGTTCTCCTCTGGAAGATAGACGCTGAACAGGTCCCAGTGCGAACGGACGTCTCTTTCACAAACTTAAGTCCTGCTGCTTCGTTTTTCTTAAGGAGACTTTGGCTATCAGCAAATCTTATAGCTTCTCTTCCCTCAAAGACGATAACATATAACGGGACACCCTCGGGGCCTTGTAGACAGGGCTTTGTGTGTGACCGGCCCCCTCTCCGTGTGTTTCTGTGTTCATCGCCCTGAACTGAGACTGGGATGAACAGGAGATGAAGCCGGTGTGACCCGTCTGCCCGCGCACCTCTGCTCTGCGCAGACACTGCCGAGTCATGTGATCTCCAAGGCAAAGCTGCTGCCCTCCCGCATGTGCTACGGCGCCTGCACAAGCAAAACCAAAGTGTTCTCCCCACTGGCTTTCTCGGGCGGAGAAGTTGGACCACAAACCAATACATCTGTGCGACAGTGGCCCCCAACTGTGTCCCGCCCCCAAACCAACAATGCCCCAGGTCCTCCCATTGGCCCCAATCCCGGCAGAGGCCGCCGGCTGGGTTGTAGAGTGTCTCCGGGTTCCGACTCGAACGAGGCCAGAAAAGCCAACTCCACCCACCTCTTCCCTCTGCCTCCACAAGCCGGCACCGAGGGCCTCTGGATCGGTTCCCACCCACTTACTTCCACCATCCGACAAGGGTGGCACACAATTTTCCAAAAAAAAAAAAACCACACACAAAAGAATCTGCAAAAGGTGTCTACATAATACTGTGCATGAACGTCAGGACGGTGGCCCACTAGGAAGGAAGGCACTTGTGAGCGGGAGTGGGCTTCCCGAGGGCAGGGCTCAGTGAGTCAACAGTTTCAGGCGCGTGAGCCAGCTGACCAGCAGGGACGGTTCCGTGGCCGGGGCCTTGGCCCCCGAGGAGGCGGGTTTCTTCTTGGTCCCTTCCTCCTGGAACGGGATGGTGGCGCTGCTGTGGAGATCTGAGCCGAGGTAGCACCTGCTGCCTCGGATGTAGTCCGCGCCTCGGACCAGCTGCCGCTCCGTGTGGGGCCTGGAGAACCGGTAGGGGGGAGAGGAGCTTTCTTCGATGATCGGAGGGATCCGTTCGTTACTGAAATACCGGCAAAGGGCATCCTCACCTGTTGTCAGACAAAGACCACAAGTCCATTAAAATGACTGTGCACCGCCTATGTGGGCCCAAAGCCCGCTCAACCTTCTGATGCCCCTTGATGGTGGGCACCACAGCCTGCCCTCCCCCAGGGATGGGCTAGGAGGCCTCGCTGATGGCCAGGCCCACCCCCTGGGGGTGTGGAAAGTAGAAATGGCCGAGGGCCATCATAGTTTGGGCTGCTTTCCCACCTGAGAGGTGACAGGTGGGCAGAGTAGAGACAGAGAGCCCGCCCTCCGTTACCAGGGTGAGGGTTTTCATAACTTCACTTGAAACCAAGAGAGAAAGCTGCTAACTCCATGCTCCTTCCCCACCGTCCTTCCACAATGCTTGCAGCACATAGCACATGCTCCTTGAACAGGGTTCCTATGCTAGAGCGCCCCTAAGGAGCATTCAAAAAAATGGGGGTGCCTTTGGATGTGTGGACAAAAGGGGCCACATGCAAACCTGACAAGCTCAGGGGAGGCCTGCATGGAGGTCTTGCAAACTCAGAGACCTAAAGTAACCACAAAGGGTGGTCTGAAATTAAACTTCAACTAAAAGCAGTTGTGGTGGATAGTTACGTCCTAGGCTGGTATCTTCACTGACAAGGTCAACCTTTACCTTAACTGAGCCTATCTGTCTTTTTGCATCTATGATAACATACCCTTGAAATGTCTGGGTGACTTGTAACCTCCCGTTTTCTGGACCCCTTGGGGCACAACCTAATGTGCTGGGCGCCAAGACAGATACCACAAATTCCTTCACTGTTATCATGTTCATTCTTCCTGCACCCACCTAAGTACGTGTCTATCATTTTACTTTTCATCCAATCCCAGAGGACCCCTCCCCCTTCTCTTTGCTTTCTGCCGCCTCTCTAGTCTATCACCAATGGATTTCATGTGACCCACCTAGGTCCCTCCTTTGCTTGCAATGTATAAAAATAGAGGAAAACCCGCCATTCTCCAGAGCACTATCCCGATTCATTGAGATACTGCTTCCCGGCAATGTCGACAGTTTGGCTCAAATAAACTCACAAAAATTCTTTACGGGTTTGAATGTCTTGTTGTTTTTCTTTCACGTTAACAGCTGTCACCTGAATGAAGGGCGGGCACTGTTCACCATTCATGGAGGGAATCCAAAACATTTCAATGCTCTGCTACTCGGGACAGTTCCCAGCAGAAAGACTGATCCCACCCTAGGAGACCCCCTGGGATTGGTGACGGGTGATTATGAAACTGAATAGAAACCTACAACGCAGGCCACTTGGCATTCTTTTGACCATAAAATTCCACCTCTAAAAACGTGCAAAGATCTCCGTACAAGGGTGCTACCTGAAGCACTGTTTACAATGGGGGTGGGGAATGAATAAGAACAGAAATAACCTAGATGTCCAACAAATACTAAATAAATAGGTGTTATAGCCATGAGATGGAATACTAATGCTGCTATTAAAAATGTTCTAGATAATATTCAGCTTACATAGTGTTAGTGAACATCTCTTCCTCCCACCCTGCACGCTTTTCCCAAGTGTATAATTGTATCTATGAAAACAGCTGGAAGAGACACGACACCTGCACCTGATGGTTCCTAGGTTGGGGGAAGCAGACTGATGCTGAGTTTCATGATGCAGGTGAGCACCTTCAAGATGTTCTTCCAGTACTTGATTTGCATTTGTAATCAAAGGGCAAAAGTTACTATAAAAAAGTGCCCGTTGTAAAAAACAAAAAAAACAAAACAAAACCACATAGTGTCTGAGTCGCTTGATATGAAACGTCCAGAATGAGCAAATGCAGAGACAGAACATAGATGAGTGGTTGCCAGGGGCTGAGGGAGGAAGGAATGAGGCGTGGCTGCCCACAGGCCTAGGGCTTCTTTTCGAGAGAGTAAATGTGCTGGAATTAGAGATGGTGATGGACACACAACACTAGGACTATCCTAAAGAGCACTCAGATGCTCCCTGCCCCAGGGTGAGCATGGTGGTATATGTGAGTTCCGTCCCAATAAAGCTGTTATTTTTACTTTCATTCTAACATGACCATACAAGAAAAATGTGGGAGTGGGGACAGGGGGTCAGGTAGGTTTCCATTTACTGATTTCACACCTCCCGCCCTGCCTCTCACCCCATCTCTCAGGACGTAAAGGCAATAAAAGGCCACATCTGAGCTTCAAAGGCTAAGAGAACGGCAAGAAAGATGTTGACATTTTAAAATCTAAACAAAGGACAGCCTGCCACCTGCTGACTGCTCCACAGACCTTCACTGTAACTGGAGGTGCCCTGGACGTCAGACAGGTGTCTTCTGCCTTTTCCACATTAGCATAACCCAGGTGACGGGGGTGGTGGGGTGACAATCGTTAACAAGTCCCGGGGGGGTGGCAGGGAAGGATCACAAGAAAGTTGGGCTTTCAGAAAAAAAACTCCTCCCCTTAGCCATCTAAAATTTGTGGATTCCGCAGTCGCTCCAGCAATGCAGTTTAACCTGGCAAACCGATGTGTAAAACGGCGCACAGTCGACCGACAGCTCTATTATGGGCAAAAAAATAAGAGAACTTATAACCCTTTTTCTCAAGACTGGTGCAACAACCAGTAACTGTCCATAGGGAGGACTGAACGACAAATTTCTTTTCTAACCGTAAGTACCCTCTAACACAAGAAGGATTTGGGGGGGAGAAGGGGGGAATCCATGTTTGTTCATGAAAAATCAAACAGACTCCAATAATCATAAAATTTAGGATGAGATTACATAATGAATAATTTATTTCTACTTGTTTAGAAACCGGACCATTAATGTCTGCAGCCTTTTCAAAGCGCACACTGCTAAGGAGGAGATTTATAATCACTAATAACACGGCATCATTCTGCCATTCTAGAAATATGTGGGGTCTGAGGTCGTCAGCATTCCTGACTTCATAGATAAGACGATGGGGCTCAGAAAGGCGAAGTCCTCTATCCAGTTATCCCAGAACACTTAGGAACAGGACTGAGATCCGGGCCGGCGTCTTCTGATTCCTGATTTGGGGTGATTTGCTTAAACTTACCTTTCTTCCCATGACTGCGAGGTCTGGCGAAAGGGTCCACGATCCCCATCCAGCTGCCATCCGCAGGCATGGACAAAGGCCGGGGCTTGCCTGGGGGGGGGCGGGGGAGCAAGGTGACAGTGGGTGACTGGGTGGCTCAGAGAATCATCACCCCCTTTATTTGTATTCTAGATCGCCACCCCTGCAGGATCACACTCACTTAAGCAGAAGCAGTCACAGATTTTAAAGTAAGGAAAATAACTGGAAGCATCGCATTTCTGCAGCGAGCCACGGGGACAGGGGGCGCTGAACTTGAGGCTGTGGGTGCACAGAGCGGAGCCACTCCGAAGCTAAAACCCAGGCTCTGAGATTTAAAACGGGAACATGATCTCACCCACCAGGCTTTGATGCCAAGCGGAGCGATGACTCAACAAGGCTGCGCTTTGGAGGGAGGAATAAAGGTCTCATACTTCGAATTACACTGAGGTTTATGCTTTTCCTCAGATTCCCCTCAGCGCCTGCCAAATCCAGCAGCCGTCCCTAACAAGGACGGGGGTGGGGAAGAGAGGAGCAGCACCAAACACACTCAGACACGTACCGTACGACGGCGTTTTCTGCCTCATTTTTGTGGGCAGAATGTTGGTTTCAACCGAATAGCCAGGCAACTGATCGGAGTCGGCAATGGTGAACCTCCGTCTCCTGCTCTCCTGGTCCAAGAAGGAATTCGGGGACTCGGAGCCCTTGGGGCCGGGCGCCGGCCGTTTACACTTGCTGAGGCCTCCGTAAACGAAACTCCCATTCTCGTTCCTGCAAGGCAGTGGGAGGTCATGCACTGGCTCACAAAGAGCCGCTTACAGGAGGCGCCCATAGGAGGTGCCAGCCACCTTTCCACTGGGGGAAAGGCGTGGCTTTTTCAATCCCAGTTGTTGCTCAAATACATAGAGGCCCTGATCAATAAAGGCAAATATCATGATCCTCCTATTTAAATAAGGGAAAATACATGTTTTTCATATGCGCTCAAACGGTACACGTGTACCTTTGGAAAGAGGGCTCCCGCTTTCGTGAACATCTGTCCTATCACTGGGTCACCTACTCACTACAGGAATCTCGGGTTCAGGTGGGACCTGTGGAGCCATTTCTCTTATGCCCAGCGCAGTGTCTTTGCCAAGATCCAGGTAAAAAGACACTTGCTGTGAATGGAGCTGTTAGATTTGAAAATTATGTCAAAAAACACAAAGGGCCCTTGATAGCCCCCCAGTGGAGAGTGACTATTTTCTGAACCAAGTACGGGAACTGGCAACCGCTGGATCTTCGATTGCAACTTCATTCTTTCTAAATGACAGCTTTTATACTAAAAGTTGAAACTAATTTTCATGTGTCCTAGTTACCAGCTGGTTACGTGTTTTGCATTTAGTAAATCCCACTAGGTGATCCCTGTAAAAAAGTACCAGACAAAATACAGAATCAACCGAGTCCAAAACCGTCCGAAGATCAGCCTAGGCAGGGTGGTGTCCCCCGTGAGCCAGCTGCCTGTGTGCCCCTTCCCCCATGAATCTGTCTCCTTCCACACTTTTCAACCTGGACTAGAACTTCCCATTCACAAAGCTTCCATGACTCACCCCTCATTCTCTGTAACCATTTGCATTCTTCATGCCTCAGAAAATAGCCTTCATTAATGACATGTGTTGGGGGAGGGGGAGCACGCACACATATGTGCCTCCCCAAGCAGATTAAAAGCCCTGGCTCCTCTTCCTGCTCACTATATACATCACCCTCTGTCTTACCACTGCCCTGTGACCAGTCACTGAGACCCAGACAAGAACACTCAGGGTTGGGAGTTAGAGGGGGGGTGTCCTTCCTACAGTTTCAACAGCCCACACACTGACCATCAGTGACACTCCTGTGTTTTGCATATGCAAAGGCAACTGCCTGTTGCTCTAAACACACGTAGGATCCTATGGCCACATGACTCCAGTCTTTGTCTACAAGGAAGAGTCCTATCTCCCAACCAGAAAGCCCTGATCACCTACGGCGACTGCTCTACATGCTGTAATACGTTCTAGGCAAACCAAGACTCAAAGAAGAGGAAAATGACATTAATTCTTCTTGGTGCCAGGAACAAATACAATGGAAGCAAATAGTTCAGCTTACCAAAAAAAAAAGAAAGAAAGAAAGAAGTGAAAAACTCTAATATAAAGTAAAACATCACCTGAAGTTCAACCCAAACTTTGTCTTAGGAAATATTATAGCATAATTACATATTTCTCAATTGATTCTAAAACAGCTGACTGAGCCATATGCAGTTGTCTGGAGCGTGTGGGGGGGGGGG